CGACCTCAATGGTCCGACACAATTGGGAACTAACTTTGTTCAGCTCAGTATTGAAGACGGATGGCGTGAAAGCTCTGCCAATGCATACTTGGATCCGAACCCCAATCCCCACAACCTGTACATCTCAACTGATTCCTGCGTGACTCAAATATCTATAGATGATGTTCACGGAAAACCTACGGCTACTGGAGTTCAGTTTGATGTCACTGATGCTTACGGTAAACGTCAGACATATAAAGTTCGCACAAAACAAAGAGGTCGTACTAAGTGCGGGTATGTTATTGCATACAATTTCTTTAATTATGTTATTTTTATATTTGATTGAGTCTTAAACAGCGGCTATAATGTCGTTAATTATAATTATCTGATTATCCAGATTTAAAAATGACAAAAGTCATAGAAAATATTATAATTAATCATTTATTAAGTTATTGTATTATTGATAAATAACACATGTGTTAAAAAATATTAAAAATAACATTGCGACAAAAAACTGCTATAAAATCTATGAGAATACTGTATGTAAAACTTTAATTACAATAATTACAATTATCTTATTAATACCATTGTACGAGTTTTACAAATTATAATTTAAATTGTATTAATTTATTCAAAAATATAGTTAACTCAACTAAATCAGACAAACATTTTATAGTATTTTTAACAGTAATCTTTCAGTTAACAATTACTGTATAATGTTAAAGTATTTGTCTGAATTAGTTAAGTTAATTATATTTTATGAATAAATTAATAAAATTTAAATTACAATTTGTATAACTCGTTGCAGTGAATAGTAATTATCTGACCAATTATTAAATCAACAGTTAATTAAAAAAATGATCAAGTACAATGTTATTAATCAGATACAGTAATTGTAATTAATAGCATCACTGATGATTTATTTATCATTATCATCATTATTTGAAATAAATGTTATTATTAATTTAACAAAATCACTATTTTATAGTATATTTAGAGTTAATTTAAATACATAGTAATCTTTTTTAATAGTTTATAATTATGTATATTTCTATACTAAATATTATCAATAATTTTATTTTGAAGGGTCATATGGTTCACCACATTTGTTAATGTTGTCCGGCATCGGACCTAAAAGTCATTTAACAAAATTTGGTATTAAACCGATAGTGGATTCTACCTGTCGGTTATAATCTTCAAGATCACGTACAGGTGTCCATTGATAGCTTAATTAAAGATCCGCAACAATTTCTTAATGATTTTCCTGAGTTAACTACTGAAAAGTTGTATCAATTGATTAAGAAAAATATGGGTCCATTAGGTTCATCACCAGTTGTTTACACGTATATTAATACCAAATCCAATGCAAATGAACCCGAGTGGCCAAATGTTGTCCTCTCTCATCGCTTTTTACAGTTTTCAACTAATCTAACTGAACTAATTGAAATCTATAGCCGAGAACAGTTAGATGAATGGGAACAGTATTATTTTCCATTACTGGGTGCACCTCATTTAAGTTCAGAGGTATTTGTTCGCCGAACTCGTAGTTTTGGTCGGGTGTGGCTTATGTCTGAAGACCCGTATGTTTTGCCTGCTATTGATCCAAATTATTTTGCCGATGACCGTGACTTTGAAGATATGTTAGAGGCTTTTAAATTCCTGATTAACTTTCTACAAAACTCTGCCATTTCAGAGTATATAAACTTTATGCATACACCTGTGCCTCCCTGTGCTTCATTACTTTGTATGGACCGACCATTCAACAGTGCGAGTATCTTAGGTGTTATATAACTCAAATAGGTTTCAAAGAGCATCATTCAGTTGGTACGTGTCGTATGGGAGATCCGCACAGAAAAGACACTGTTTTGGATCCCAAACTCAAAGTTAAAGGCGTCGATGGATTGAGAGTATGCGATGCATCAGTTATGCCGCGCTTACCTAATGCTAACATCAATGTCCTGTCCATTATGATTGGCGAAAAGTGCGCCGATATTATTAATAGCGGTTACTAAAGATTTGTATTGTAAATATAATAATCCATTTATTTATTTATTTAGGTTTATATTTTAAAACTATTGACTTACACAAAACATTTATTGTACAAATTATACTATAATATAAAATAAAATAATTTGTATTTATAACTTATTTTATTGTATACTAATTTAATTACTCTGTATAATATAGAGTATCAAACATTAATTTTTTCCCACATTCATGTAGTTACATGACAAATATATGACATAAAATTTATTTTTCGTCTATTTTTAGCAGCCATAAAATGCTTCATATTTTTGAATATTTAAAAATTATATAAAATGAATTTTTATATCTTAATGTTTTATTAATATAATATTTAATAATTATTATTTTTCAATGCTAAATAATATTTGACTAATTTATAATACAAGTATTAAACAATATTTTTATTGTTGATTTAATGACTGATATCTTCTATATTATGATATAATAATAACTTTCAAAGAATTAACTGTATTATTGAATACCATTATTAGGTACATTAAGACCACTTAGATTAGGTACACTAATTAAAATTTTTCAAACAATAATTATCTCACTTTATCAATATAATGATAATATTTAATATTTAAGTGATTAATTTATGATAAAATTTATTGTTCTGTTTTAAAATATTAAGTTTGTAAACAATTTTGTCTTTTATTTAAATAAACTTAAATCATTTTTTTAAAAATATGATAATAATGTAGTATATGATATTGCAGTTTATATAAATGTTATCATATTAATTCACAATCTACAAATTGTTTACTAAAATTGAATATTATTTTAATAAATAGAAACTTAATTTTATAAAATAATTTATGATTTAAAATAAAATATTAAAATATTATTTAAATTAAGCAAACATATGGAGTGGTTTTATTACTAAAACTATATTTCTAGTTTTCAACTCTAATATATTTAATATAAGATAACGTATAATAAATTTATCATATATTTGAAGAGTATTTTATTCAACTATTAATCCCATTATAAATAATTACTAAAAATATTATTTCAAATTGAGTTCGTATGAATAACGTTTATTATAGAAACTAGCTTGATAAATTATATAAATTGATAATGATGCATTTTTATAATAAAAATATTATTATTGCATAATAGATGGAATATACTGTACATAAATTGTATATATGATGTGATATTTTAGTGTAAAAATGCATTATTTTGCACATTTATAGTATATATTGTACTCACAGTAATAACTTAACTGTTGTATGCGATTATAATTTTTTTAAAAATCATAATTGATAAACTTGTTTAAATGTTATTTCAATGCTAAGTTTATATTATGTAATAAAACATACAATTACATGCTAACAGTAATAATGGTAAAATATATGAAATTGATTATTGATTATTGGCATAATTTGTTTATCAAGTAGTAGAGTACATAAACTTATTGTTTTATAATTGCATGAAATCAAATCAAACGCAAACCAGTAGCAACACAGTGAGTGAACAAATTTTAATAGGAGTATAAATTAGTGAGCTTGGTGAACTATTTAAAAATTATTAAATTATTAAATTATTTCTACAAATTGTCAAAACATTATATATTTTTCTATAAAAGTTTATTTATTTAATTTGTTGTTAAACTGTAAAAATCATGTCTACAAATAATATTAATAGTGAGAATATAACAAATAATATAAAGTTGACCCTCTCATTTAATAAATTGGGCAAATATTTATTATGGTTTGGTTTTTTTAGTATGTTTTTCATAAATTTATTCAAAGTTATTGAACAAAAGTGGATCCCATGGCCGGCATTAATATTTGTGTGGGCAATGAGTGCCACCACTATATTTATCGGGTGTTTAATACTATTTATTACACGTAAAACTATATCAAAATACAAACGCAATGGACTGGTGTTTGACGGCGTCTACATAAACACCATCTCTGGTCTCGTAGATATGCAAAATACCGGCTCCCGACCGGCCATACCCACACTGTTTCGACAGTTTAGCTATAGTACACCACCGCCCAGTTATGATCAAGCGGTACAACAGGACGATCCAAGCTAGACATATACACAAACTGATACACATGTATACCTGAGCTTAATTGGATACTCATATACTTAAATATAGCTAATTCAATGAATGTTTGGTCAAATACAGTAATGACTTGATTTTGCTATAGTTTTCACACAATAATCATAACATTTAGATTTTGCTTTTGATCTCAACGATTGCTAAATAATTATATTAGTTATAGTTTACTATAATATTAATGTATTTTTATAGAATTACTAATAATTATGTACTAATTATCGACATTTATTTTTATTTATAAAAACTTTACAATGTTTATCACAAAAAATATTTATTTATTAAATGAAATATTTATATTTATAGTTAAAAGTATTAATTATTATTAAGAATAGTATTTATTTTTAGAGAAAAAGCAAATTGAAAACACAATTTTCGTAAATTATTTATAATATGCAAAATGTGGCTAATATTTACCTATTGGTCAATACTTTTACAGCTATTTTTTGCGACATTATTAGTATTCAAATGAACTAATCTGTCGATACCTATACTATGATATATACTGGGATTTAACAACTAATAGATGATATAATATTAATAAATACTTTTTGGACTAAATTTAATGAAATCTGTTTTGTATTTTTTTAATAAAGAGAATTAAATAAAGTATTAAAAATAAAAATGATATAAATTAATTATTTTTAAAACTAAATATTTACTTGAAAAATATAAAATATCTCTCTCTCTCTCTCTCTCTCTCTCTCTCTCTCTCTCTCTCCCATCTTTTTACAGCTATTTAAAGTAAGATACTGTACTATACATAGAGTATGTAAATATATTTTATGATATATTATATTATCAATAACAGTTTATGTTTATTCATAGTTTATTAATAACAAAAGGTAAATAATGTATTTATTAATTTATTAGTTTAATTGCAATTATAGTGAATTTATTAAAATCTATTTAACTTTTATAACCTAAAATACTTTTTAATGTTTTTTAAAAAAACTTTCATTTAAATTTTTAAATGATTTAATAGCCTGGTTAAAACATTTTTATCAATTTATATTTAAAAGAGATATTAAATGATATGTTATTTATAAAATACATTATCTCAATTTTTAATTAATTTAAATTTTAACAGCAGTGTTATATTATATTCTATTTAAATATCCTAATTTATTTATTAGTATATTTTTTACAAGTTATCGAGTTATACGAAAAAAATACAAATTTTAATTGCAAATATTGTCTCAACAAAACAAAATTGCGATTATCAGGGGATGGCTAACAATAATATTACTTTAGGTAAATATTAAATCAATTAAAATATAATATCATTAAATGTATGAAATGCTGTACAATATGTCATTAATTAATTCATACTTTAGCCAATTTTTTTGTGATGGCAAACGTGGTCGCGGACAGGTTAAACATGACACCGGTGCATATTTTGCTATAATTACACAATATAGTGGTCATCAATTGATTATTTATGTGGACGGGTTTGCTGGCAACGGTATGCACGACAATGGAGATAAAGGGTCACCACTTATAGCCTATGAGTTAGCTGTCGAGCCTAAGTTTAAAGACAAGTTTTCAGCTAAAATACTATAGATATTCGTGGAAATGGATCCTAAAAAATAAAAAAAAAACTTTTTAAAAAATTTAAATAATTATAGACAAACATTAAATGTATTACCAATTCATGTGGAGGACCAGATATTATGTAAAAGTTTTGATGAAGTGATACCTTATCTATTGGACAATTATACTGACTATTATTCAATCCCTATGTTTGTATTGGCGAACAAAACAATAGTAATGATGGTTTGATTAATGAAGGTTACAATCAATACAATAAACCAAAAGAAACTGATTGTGAAATAATTTCTGCTAAAAATACTACTGAAAATGTTTTAATATATTTTAATTATAGCTCTTTTAATAATTAATTATAATTTACTTATAGATTTAAATTTTACATATTTATACATATTTATTATTTATAATATTAGAATAAACAAATTAAAAAATATTTTAAATTATTATTTTATAATTTCAAAGTTATAATATTTTGATATTATTTATTTATTTTAAAAATTTATTGCTTTAATACAGTAAATACTAATTACTATATATTAAAATAATGTAGAATAAACTATTGGTAATTAGCATAATATTATTTATCAAAATATCATTTTTAACAATTTATATATAAGTAATTCTACATAAAGTAGTATAAAATTATTCTTATTATTATTTATATTAAATACATATATGACATATGAAATTATAATAATCTCTAAAAAAATTCAAACTGAACTAATTTTTTTATACCTACCGTAAGTATTTTATTTTTAAACATTTTACTATACATATAATATTTATTCAAACAAATGTTATTATAGTTTAAAAAAACAAATTATTTACTAACATTTGATAAGTTTATGAAAAGTTCATTATTATACAGTATTAATACTATTTATTTTTATTATTTATAGCATATCACTAACAATAGTTGATATAAGTTAATATTAAATAATTAATAATAGTTTTATTATATTTTTATTTTTTGATAAAAACTATTAATTACATTTTATGTCCCCGTAAAAATTGTTTGATTATTTCGATAACAATATTATCTCAATATAAAATTGTATTTAAGATAATTTATCTGACGGTAACCTTAAATACATAATCTTATTTAAGACTATAAATTTTTTGTACTTATATTATACACTTTTATTAACATTAATCACAAATATTATTTTGGATAATGTTTTAAAAATTAAAAATTTTATAATTTAAAGAAATAATATTTAAATAAAATGCAAAGTAATTGTAATATTGCTGTAATTATCAATGAAGATAATTTATTTACTAACGATAATATGCTGTCAATTGATAATGGAAATAATAATAATAATATTAGTAGAAAGTTAATAAAACTATTAAAGTTGCTGA